GGAGGAGGAGGAGGACGACGACGACGACGACAAGGAGGGCGAGGAGGAGGAGGAGGAGGGCGAGGACGAGGGCGAGGAGGAGGAGGAGCAGGAGGACGACGACGACGACAAGGACGCCGACGACAGGCACCAGGCGAGGACGGGGGCGAGGGCGACGAGGACGACGAGGGCTAGGACGAGGCCGAGGACGAGGACGAGGTCGACAACGACGACGACGACGACGACGTCGACGACGGTGACGACGACGACGACGACAGCCGCCTCTGAAAGTCTCTGGAGGTCTCTGGACGTCTCCGGAAACCTCTGGAGGCGTCTTGAGGCCCTCCGACGCCCTCGACGACGACGAGGGCGAAGACGAGGACGAGGACGAAGACGGGAAACGACGACGACGACGACGACGACGGATGAGGACGACGACGACGATGACGAGGACGAGGATAAGGACGACAACGACGACGAGGACGACGACGCCGACGAGAACGACAAGGACGACAACGACTACAACGACAACGGCGACGGAGACGGGAACGACGACGACGTTGAGGGCGACAAAAACGACAACGAGGACGAGGACGAGAATGAGGACCATGAGGATGACGACGAGGTCGACGACGACGACAACGACGACGACGACGAGGGCAAGGACGACAAGGACGACGATGACGACGGACGAGGACGACGACGACGACGCGGACGACGACGACGACGAGGACGAGGATGGGAATAAGGACGACGACGACGACAACGACGACGACGAGGACAAGGACGACAACGACGACGACGACGACGGCGACGACGAGGACGAAGACGTGGACGGGAACGACGACGACGATGAGGACGACGACGACGAGGACGAGGACGAGGATGAGGACGATGACGACGAGGACGCCGACGAAGACGACGATGACGACGAGGACAAGGACAACGAGGACGACGACGACAACGGGGACGCGAACGACGACGACGACGGCAACGATGAGGAGGACGACAACGACGACGAGGACGACGAAGATGACGACGAGGACGACGACGATGACGAGGACAAGGACGACAAAGACGACGACGACGAAGAGGACGGGGATGAGAACGAGGATGAGGGCGAGGAGGAGGAGGAGGAGGATGAGGGCGAGGAGGAGGACGACGAAGACGAGGACAAGGACAAGGACGAGGAGGAGGAGCAGGAGGACGACGACGACGACGACAAGGACACCGACGACGGGCACCAGACGAGGACGGGGACGGGGACGAGGACGACGAGGACGACGAAGGCTAGGACGAGGTCGAGGACAAGGACGAGGACGAAGACGACAACGACGACGACGAGGACGACAACGACGAGGTCGAGGTCGAGGACGAGGACAAGGACGACAACGACGACGACGACAACGACGGCGACGACGACTGCCGCCTCCGAAAGTCTCTGGAGGTCTCTGGACGTCTGCGGAAACCTCTGGAGGCGTCTTGAGGCCCTCCGGAACCCTCGACGACGACGAAGACGAAGACGAAGACGAGGACGAAGACGGGAAACGACGACGACGACGATGAGGACGACGACGACGATGACGAGGACGAGGATGAGGACGATGACGACGACGAGGACGACGACGCCGACGAGGACACGGACGACAAGGACGACGACGACGACGACAACGGCGACGGGAACGACGACGACGACGATGGGGGCGACAAAAACGACAACGAGGACAAGGGCGAGGATGACGACGAGGAGGACGACGACAACAACGACGACGAGGACAAGGACGACAAGGACGACGATGACGACGGACAAGGACGACGACGACGACGAGGACGACGAGGACGAGAATGGGGATGAGGACGACGACGACGACGAAGTGGACGAGGACGAGGATGAAGACTATGAAGACGACGACGAAGACGACGACGACAACGACGACGACGAGGACAAGGACGACAACGACGGCGACGACGAGGACGAAGACGGGGACGGGAACGACGACGACGACGACGATGAGGACGACGACGACGAGGACGAGGATGAGGACGATGACGACGAGGACGACGACGACAACCGACGATGACGACGAGGACAAAGACAACGAGGACGACGACGACGACGACAACGGGGACAATACCAAGGACGACGACAGCAACGATGAGCAGGACGACGACGACGAGGACGACGCAGATGACGACGAGGTCAGACGACGACGAGGACCAGGACGACGAGGACGACGACGACGAAGAGGACGGGGATCGACGACGACGAGGACAAGGACGAGGATGAGGACGATGACGACGATGACGACAATGACGACAACGACGACGACGAGGACAAGGACGACAAGGACGACGACGAGGAAGACGAGGACGGGGACGGTAACGACGACGAGAACGACGATGAGAACGACGACAACGACGAGGTCGATGACGAGGATGAGGACGACAACGATGACGACGAGGACGACGACGACAACGACGACGACGAGGACAAGGAAGACGAGGACGACGGCGACGACGAGGACGTGAACGACGACGACGATGAGGACGACGACGACGACGAGGACGAGGACGTGGATGAGGACGCTGACGATGACGACGAGGACGACGACGACAACGACGGGGACACGAAGACCAGGACAATGACGACGACGACGACGACGAGCACGGGGACAAGAACGAAGACCACGCGTACAGGGAACACCGACGACGACGACGAGAACGAGGATGAGGACGATAATGATGACGACGAGGTCGACGACGACGACAACGACGACGACGAGGACGACGATGACGACGACAACGACGACGACAACGACAACGAGGACGGGAACGACGACGACGACGATGAGGACGACGACGACGAGGATGAGGACGGGGACGATGACGACAAAGTCGACGACGACAACGACGACGACGACGAGGACAAGGAGGACAAGGACGACGACAACGACGAGGACGAGGACGATAACGACGACGACGACGACGACGACGACGAGGACGACGACGACGAGGACGGGGATGGGGACGACGACGATGACGACGAGGATGACGACGACGACAACGACGACGACGAGGACAGGGACGACAAGGACGACGACGACGGCGACCACGACGGAGACGGGAACGACGACGACAACGATGAGGGCGACAAAAACGACGACGAGGACGAGGACGAGGATGAGGACGATGACGACGGCGACGGGGACGACGACGACAACGACGACGACGAGGACAAGGACGACAAGGACGACGACGACGACGGACGAGGACGACGACGACGAGGACGACGAGGACGGGGAGGAGAACGAGGATGGGGACGGGAACGACGATGAGGACGACGACGACGACCAGGACGATGATGAAGATTATGACGACGACGAAGACGACGACAACGAGGACGACGAGGACAAGGACGACAAGGACGACGACGACGACGACAACGACGACGGCGACGACGAGAGCGAGGACGAAGACGGGCCCGGGAACGATGACGCCGACGACGATGAGGACGACGACGACGAGGATGAGGATGATGACGACGAGGACGACGACGACAACGACAATGACGACGAAGACAAGGACGACAAGGACGACGACGACGACGACGACGACGACGGGAACGACGACGACGACGATGAGGACGACGACGACAACGAGGACAAGGATGAGGACGACGACGATGACGACGAGGACGACGACGACGAGGACAAGGACGACAAGGAGGACGACGAGGACGGGGATGAGAACGAGGATGAGGACGATGACGACGAGGTCGACGACGACGACGACGAGGATGAGGACGACACGAACTACGCCGACGACGAGGATGGGGAGGAAAACGACGACGACGACGAGCACGGGGACGATGACGATGACGGCGAGGACGACGATGCCGACGACGACGACGGACGACGACGACGACGACGAGGACAAGGACGACGACGACGACGACGACGACGACGGGGACGAGAACGACGACGACGATGAGGACGACGATGACGACAAGGACAATGGCGAGGATGAAGACGATGACGTCGATGACGACAACGACGACAACGACGACGACGACGACAAGGACAAGGACGACAAGGACGACGACGAAGACGACGAGGACGGGGACGGTAACGACGACGACGAAGACGACGATGAGGACGACGACAACGACGAGGACGATGACGAGGATGACGAAGACGACGATGACGACGAGGACGACGAGGACGACGACCACAACGACGACGACGACGACTACGACGACGACGACAAGGACGACGAGGACGACGACGACGACGGCGACGAGGACGAGGACGGGAACGACGACCACGACGATGAGGACGACGACGATGACGAGGACGTAGATGAGGACGATGACGATGACGACGAGGACGACGACGACAACGACGACGACAAGAAGACCAGTACGACGACGACGACGGGGACAAGAACGACGACGACGAAAGGGAAAAACGACGACGACAACGACGACAACGAGGACGAAGACGAGGACAAGGACGACAAGGAGGATGACGATGGCGACGACGAGGACGGGGACGGGAACGGCGACGACGACGTCGATGAGGACGACGATGAGGATGAGGACGAGGACGAGGACGACGAGGACGAGGACGACGACAACGACGCCGACGATGACGACGAGGACGACGAGGACGACGACGACGACGACGACAAGGGCGACAAGGACGACAAGGACGACGACGACGACGACGAGGACGGGCCCGCGCGGCCCGAGGGCATCCGGCCCCCGTCGGCGATCAGTGGGCCACCGGGGGATCGACGCTCCCGAGTCCGTCCCTCCTCCGGACGTGGCCCCTGACCCTCTTCCTCCTCCTCCTCCTCCTCCCCCCTCCTCCCCTCCTCCTCCTCCTCCTCCTCCCTCTCCCATACCTCCTCCTCCTCTCCTCCCCTCCCCCTCCTCCTCCTCCTCCTCCTCCTCCTCCTCCTCCTCCCCCTCCTCCTCCTCCTCCTCCCCCTCCTCCTCCTCCTCCTCCTCCTCCTTCCTCCTCCTCCCTCCTGCGCCCGGTTCCTTCTTCCTCAGGATGGTCTCCAGCTCCGCCTCCATCTCCGCGCGGACGTCGCCGAGAGTGGCCTCCTGCTCCTCGAAGAGGGGCTGGGGGGCGGGAGAGAGGAGGCCGGCTGCCCGCCGAAGCAGGGCCGGGTGGGCAGCGAAGAAGCACACCTTGTCGACGCGGAGTGTGCGTCGGATCGGGTGGCGTCGGCACGGAGTCGGAATCGAATCGGCTCGGCTGCGCCGTGATGCACAGCGGGCGCCACGCACGCATCGGGCCGCATCGGATCGGTGGAAGATTGGAACCGAATCGTGTCGAGCCAGCCGTACATCAGGTTCGTGTCATGCCCACCCTGGCGTTGGCTTCTGACACCGCAAGGACGGTTCAACTTTGAACGATCGGCCGTTTCCGAAAAGGTCGATCGTTCGACATCGACCGTGTTTGGGTCGCCGGCGGCGTTCAACGTTGAACGCCAGCGGCGGGGTCGCCGCCGGTCGACACGAGGCGAACCTCCTGTGACCGATGTCGAATCGGACCGACCAGATCGCAGCGGACCCCAAAAAGTGGCCCAAGGCATGGGCGATCCCTGGCGCGCGCCTCGCCGACGGCTGCACGCGACGAGGGCCTGCGACTGCGACCCCCCCGGCCACAGAAGCAACAAACTTTACCGACGCCGCCGCTCTCGCGGGCTGCGCCCTGGCAAGGATCCCCCAGGCGAACCCCGCCGTGGCGGCTCGCGCCGTGACGACCTCGGCGCTGGCGTCTGCCGCCGCGTGGACCGCCCGGCCTTGAGCGACCGCGGCTTCCCGGCATGGTGGGTCTGCTTTCCACCACCACCACCACCACAAGTTGGAGAGGGGGAGAGGGTCCTCCTCCACCTCCTCCTCCTCCTCCTCGTCCTCCTCCTCCTCGTCCTTCTCCTTCTCGTCGTCCTCCTCCTTCCCCCCTCCGGCTGATGGTGGTGGTGGTGGAAACAGACAGGCGCAGATCGTCCGGTGTCGGCCGATGCAGGGCACCCGCGGCGCTCGACCTCGAGCGCCCTGGCCGGGGCCGCCGCCGCGTCGACACGGCACGCACCCGACCGTGCCGGAGCTCACTGGACCGAACGGGCCGCGATCAAGGGGAACGACAAGGGGGGCTGGCCCACCGGATACAGTGTTCGGCCTGACCTGAGGACCGATGAAGAAGGAACGGAGCCCCTTTTCTTCCAGGCAAGTCTAGGAAGTCTGAAGGAACACCAGGGGGGCTCGCCGCCAAAAAGGTAGCGGGACGCATGCAAACCAAAGGGGAACGGCCGAGCCCCTTTTGAAAAGCAAGTGTTCCTTATTCAAGCCAGACCCTGTAATCAACTCTCGTAGCTCTGAACACTTGGGCTCATGCTGTCAACTCCCCTCCGCAAAATCTGCTTCTCTGGAACCACGGCTCCGCTCTTCCGCTCCCGCCCCCCTCCCTCCCGCAACGCTGCGCGACTTCCTTGCTTAGACCATCCCATCTGCTGGCCCACAAAGAAGCCCCAGGAGGCCGCCAAGAGGCCCCTTAGAGGCCCCCGAGACCCCCAGAGGGTCCCAAGAGGCCTCCAGCTCCTCCTCCTCCTCCTCCACCTCCTCCTCCTCCTCTCCTTCCTCCTCCTCCTCCTCCTCCTCCTCCTCCTCCTCCTCCTCCTCTCCTCTCCTTCCTCCTCCTCCTCCGCACTCTCCCTCCTCCTTCCTTCCTCCTCATCCTCCTCCTCCTCCTGCTCCTCCTGCTCCTCCTCCTCCTCCTTCCTCCTCCTACCTCCACCTCCTCCTCCTGCTCCTCCTCCTCCCCTCCTCCTCCTCCTCCTCCTCCTCCTCCTCCTCCTCCTCCCCTTCCTCCTCCTTCCCCCACCCTTCCTCCTCCCCCCACCCTTCCTCCCATCCCCCCTCCTCTTCTTTCTTTCCCCTCCTCCTCCGTACCCCCTCCTCCCCCCGCCATTCCACCCTTCCTCCTCCTCCCTTCACTCCTCCTCTTCCTCCTCCTCCCCTACCCCGTCCCTCCCTGCCTACCCCTTTCCTCCTTTCCCCACCCTTCTTCTTTCTCCAGCCTTCCTCCTTCCCCTCCGTCCCTACCTGACCTTCCTCCTCCGCCTCCCCGTCCCGGAGCTTCCTCCTTGGCACCAGCGCACGGAGAGCTCCAGAGAACCGCGCTGCACACGACTGCACGTCGACGGGGAAGTGGGGAAAGGCACGGCAAAAAGACAGCGGCGGCGGCAACGCAGGGAGGTTAGGCGGCTAATTAACCTGATATTGAATTGGCTTCCCCCCTCCGCCTCCTCGACCTTCTCTTCCTTCTCCTCCTCTTCGTCCTTCTACTCGCCTCCCCCTCTCCTCCTCTTAATCCTCTCATTCCCCTCTGAATCCTCTCCTCTGCCTCCTCCTTTTCCTCCTCCTCTTCCTCCTTCCTCTAATCTTCTTCATCCCTTCTCGTCCTCCTCTTCCTACTTCCTCCCCCCCTCCTCCTACTTCTCCTCCGCCTCCTTGCCTCCGCCTGTCTTCCTCTTAATCCTATCATATCATTTGTCCCTCCTTCGTATCCTCTCCTTTACCTCCTCCTCCTACTCCTCTTCCCATCCTCTTCATCCCCTTCTCGTCCTCATCGTCCTCCTTCCTCCTGTCCCTCCTCCTACTCTTCCTCCTCCTCCTCCTCCTCCTCTTTCCTCCGACTGCGTCCGATCCCATCTCATCCTCATTATCCTCGTCTCCTCCGTGGCCTTCCCCGGCGACGACGGCGTCCGACGGACGAAGGCGGCGGCGCGGTCCTTGGCGGCCGCGTCACGCGCTCGCTTGTCCGCGCTGGCCATCTGGCGCCTCAACTCGGCCACCTGTGCGCAGGGGCGCTGGAGGGGAAGGGCAGTACGTGAACCAAAATTTCGAACCCTTACACACTTGCGCTGAGGATTCGATTCCCCAACGCCCCCGACATCACTGTTGATGTTATCATTTGCGGTGTTTGTTTTGGATTCGAATAATCTTGTCCAATCGGGCCCTCTCCATCGCTGCACCCTCAACATCAATTGGGGGGGTCCAAGGGAGCATCTTGCGCCCCACGGTTGAAACTTAAAATCCGTATACGGGAACGATGGGATACCCCGGGCGGCGCGCAAGGGCGAAGAGACCGCGAGAGGGAAGCGGCGTTCTGACATTCCGGCAGCTCCCCGGACCCTGGGAGGTTTTCGGTGGGGACCTCGTGGGAGATATTGAAAGCTGTCAGGCCCGATCGGGAGTGCGTTGAGCCAGACTGAGCCCAGGAGGAGGGAATAGGTGGAGAGAGGAGAAGGAGGGGGAGGAGGAGCTGGAGGAGGAGGAGGAGGAGGAGGAAGAAGAGGAGGAGGAGGAGAAGGAAGAGGAGGAGGAGGTTAGGACTATGGGGGATCAGCGGACTAGATCCGCAGGGGCAATTGGGTTGCGAAGTTTGCGCTCCTTGCTCTGGGCGTGGACCTGGTGCAAAGAGCACGTGCCCGGGGGCAGAAACTCGGGCAGTTCTGCACCACATAGAAGCATAGCTCTGCTAGCGCTCAGGAGAAATAACCCGATAAGGGCTATAGCAAGCAATAAGCAGGTAAGAAACAGCAGCAACGGAGGTAGCCAACACAGAACACAGAGGAGGAGGAGGAGGAAGGAGGAGGAGGAGGAGGGAGGAGGAGAGGAGGAGGAGGAGGAGGAGGGGAGGAGGAGGGGGAGGAGAGGAGGAGGAGGAGGAGGAGGAGGAGGAGGAGGAGGAGAGAGGAGGAGGAGGAGGAGGAGGTCCCAGGATGATTTGCTGAGCGAGCTATCCCACGTAGAGGTCGAAACGAACGGATTACAAGCGACAGCGTTGCTCAGCCTGACTAAGCACCTTGGGCCACTTGCCGACTTCAAGTCTGGATAGGTACTCCTTCCTATGAGGAGCCACGTGCTTGCAACAAGGTTTGGCCAACTCTCTCAACTGCTGATGAGCGAAGTGGCCGCACCCCGAGCAAAACCAAACATTCTGAGCATTCGAGAGCCGCATTCTGTGCGACCTGTCTACCCACCCCCCAGCCACGTGGAGCCGCCCCCCCCATCGGAAGGCCTCTGAACTTATCAGAAACAAAAGCTGGTTCGAAGCAAGGAGAGGGGAGCCACTCAGACAATTTTGCTCTCGAGGCAGAACCGAAACATCTGGTACACCTCCGCCCACACTCGTCCAGGCGATGCTCCGACACAAAAGCACGGACGACCGAGGGAGCGGGAGGAGGAGGGGGAAGAGGGCCCTTCACCCTCGGGGGCGCTCCGCAACGCTCCTCGGCCTGCAGCGTGTCCAGGCTGGCCCTCAGGAGGCGGTGCCTGACGAGCCACGCCGTGCGCTCGATCATCAGGATGGAAGCCCGAACCTCGCCGGACAATCTGCATGCTTCAGCCGCCTGCACGGCCAACTCATCTACACAGTGATTGCCAACAGCTAACCAGGATGGGATACCTGCATCAACGATTTGCTCGCCCGTGAGGTGGGAATTGACGAACAGCACGGAAACCTGTCCCCTCCGAAGTTTAAGCTGACCTCCGATGACATTCCAGAGATCCTTGTTGGCCCCATGGGGCCGTGCATGCATCTGCTCATGAAACCCTTTTGTGACCGCCTCACAATCCGTCACATAAACCAAATGGTCCTCAGTACACTCCCAGGCCAAAAGAAAAGCTCTGATTTCCCCTCTGGGAACAGACTGCACACGTCCTGCAAGTGGGCCTTGGACAGAAGCACGAATGACACACGGAGAATAAGCACCCACCACAGTAATTGCAATGCCAACCCTCATGAACCTGGGATCTCCAGAGTCCTTGCCTCCAGAAGCATCTCCAAAGACAATCAAGGGATGCGCCTCAGTGCCCTTCCCCAGACATCCAGGTGGTTCTGTCGAGTTGGTGCCGACCAGATGCCACGTCTCCTCCATGGGTGGCGGAGGTACAGCGGTCCACCTGGCTGGGATTATGCCTCGCAGCCAAAAACAGGGCTCGGCTTCGTGTTGTGCATATGCAGCGCAAAGGAGATGTTCTGAATCGTAATAAGCCTGGGCCCCCCGATTTTCAGAACACCCCCAACACCTGTGAAACTGAGTTTCGGGCTCAGTGGAGCACCTGGGACATAAAACCTCATGTTCACCCGAGATTTCATCTTGCTGCCTCTGACGCGGCCAGGACCCACCAGTTGCAATCGAAACCATCATCTCAGCCAGTCGCGTGCCCTGCCGAACGGACTGGAGCTGCTGAATGAGTCTCCGCAGCGACAAATTATCAACTCCAAACTGCATTCCTTCGCCGCAAACATGGCGGGCAGCCTCGCGCCACAACTTGGCTTGAATAGTAGCTCCAAAGTCCTCCAGCAGGGGCTCAGGATCGTCGTCCAAAATGTTTCCAGAAAGCTCTGAAGGGGGGAATCTCCACATCTCCAGGTCCCCTTCATGGTCCTCAGGAGCCTTCCAAAGCCAAGGTTGTTCAGGATTCCACCCAGCCTCCAGAAGATGCAAAGTAACAACTCCCGTGGGACCGCGGACCAGCCGTGAACGTTGACCTGCTGGAGCTTCCCGCATGCGCTGCAGGATCTTCGGCCATGCTAGCATGATGCCCTGCCGTATTGTTGGCAAGGTCAAACACTGCTGCAGCCACAGACGGAGACATGCCTTGGGAAGTGTGTATCCTGGATCTCCTCCTGGACTACGTAAGTCGAGCAACGTGGTTAAACATCGCCCCCTCTTCCCTGATCCGCAGGCATGCCCCATCTGGCGCCGAGTTCTCGTGAGATGAGTGCCGAATACTCCATGGAGCTCATGCCCATATAGCCCTGCAGCCATGGTGCCAGCACGTGTAAGTTTACTGGTAATATGATATCTTTTGCCAGCACGTGCGAATCGAACTACTATGTTGTGCATGGCGACGGCTTTTTGAACACGTTTGACCCTTTGCTGTCGCACATGCCGTTTGCCCCCACCCATATCCACACCCAGATAACCTGCCCGAGTGCACGGCTTGACGTGAAAACCTGCCTTTCGAAGCCGCTCTGAAACGAACTGCGCATCTGCCAGATGGGTGCATAGCACCACGCTCTTAGGTGAGACGGTGAGGCTCTCGCTGGTGAGGGCACGACATGTGTCCAAGAGGCCTTGGACGAGCGAAAGTCTGATCGCGCGGAGGAGGAGGGGGAGGCGGAGGAGGAGGAGGAGGAGGAGGAGGAGGGAGAAGGAGGAGGAGGAGAGAGGAAGAGGAGGAGGAGAAGGAAAAGGAGAAGGAAAAGGGGGAGGAGGCGAGAGGAGCGGAGGAGGAGGAGGCGGAGGAGGAGGAAGAGGAGGAGGAGGAGGAGCAAGAGGAGGAGGATAAGAAGGAGGAGGAGGAGGAGGAGGAGGAGGTAGAGGAGGTGAACCGCCTGCGCCTCCAGCGCCGGGACGGCCGCCCCCGCGGCGCGGGCAGCCGCCTCGGCCTCCTGCGCGGCCCGCCGCGCGGCCGCCTCCTGCTGCCGCAGCTGCGCCTGCGCGTCCTGGGCTTCTCGGGTGCGGGGCGGCAGCTTCCCACAGTCGCGGCGAGGATCTGTGGATGCCACGACAGTGGACACCCTACATAACAGTCCTATCCTTGAACGTAAAACGTGTGCTCCGAAGATCGGACAATGTTATAGACATGCTTGAAACACGCTCTTCTGTTTTAAAACATGTTTAGAACCCGTTTAGGACATCTGGGAATGATTTGTCGACATGCTTCCTCTCCGTTGATCGTTCTCCACGAGGCTCGGAGCGAGGCTGCGGGCCCCAAGCATGCATGCACCACCACCACCACGCCGAAGGCTCCTCCCTCCGCTGCCCTCGTCGTCTTCCGCTCCTCCTTCCTGGGAGAGGGACAGTAGATGGACAATACATTCGAACTCTTACACATTCGAGGGAGACTCTAAATCACCCCGCGCCCCCGACATCAATGTCGATCTCAGTAAAGGCGGTGCTTTGGGGTTCGAATATTTCTGTCCACTCACGCTCCCCCCGTCGCCACGCCATCAATATTGATTTTTGGGGGTTCCGAGGGGCATCTTGGGCCACAAGGTTCGAATATAATGTCCATGTACGGGAGGGGGTGAGGGAAGTGGTGGTGGTGTATGTGTCTGGGCCCCGCAGAGGGCGAGGCTGCGTGCGGCGGCAGCGCGGTTGCGACACGAAGATCGGCCGAACCAAATCGACCGAGCATTGTCCGACTGCGACGCAGCCGAACCCACCGTACCGTGAACACCTTTGAAGGGGGCGTGCACCCTGCGAAATGCTTTAGAAATCATGGGTTAAGAAATTCATAGTCTCAGAATTTGAATAAAAACCCAGAATGTCTATTCAAATCTTGGGATTGACATTGAAACATTAAGAATAATCGAGACTCTGGCCGAAAACTTGGGTTTTCTTAAGCATCGCCTAGAGTGTAGGGTGCTGGTCGTCGGCATATCGCGGGATGGGTCGCGGGTGCGTCGGGGGGACGCGGGGGGCGACGACGGTGACACCGACAAACACAACACCGGCAGACTCCGAGCCACAGAAGGCCTCTTCACCCACGCACCCAGGGCTGTTTGCAAGACCGCTCGGCCCCCCCACCCTGATATTCCCACCTATCTTGTCTGACGTTGAGGATGGGTCCAATGCCCCTCACAATAAATTTGGATGGCCCAGGGCCCCTTTAGGCCCCTTTGGGCCTGTCGGACTCCCTCTGAAGACCACCGGCCCTCCCGTTCGGTTTCCCAGACTGCCTAAATGGTGTCGAGGAACTCCCAGCTATGCTTCAATGCGGCACAGGCGGCTTTGAGACTGCGCCAAAGGGCCCCAAAGGACTTCCAGATGGCTTCTGCGCATGGAGCCCGATACACGACACTTATCAGCATCCCGATCTCGTTCTTAAATGTTTGACACACTGACCGCTCCGGCTACAGATGGCTTCAAGAAGGGCCCCAGAAGCCTTCAAGAGGGCCTCTGAGGCCCACACGAGCCCCCAAGATGGCCGAAGGTAGCCTCCAGGACGCTACGACGGTCCCGCAGCGGTCCAAGACCGCCCCTACCAAGCCCCCAAGCCGTCCCAGGCGGCTCCCACAACCGCCGAAATGGCCGAGAGGCGGTTGTTAGGTCTCCGACGGAGAGGCGATCCTGTTTTTTGGTCGACGGCTCCAATATGGCCCAAGAAGCTTGCCAGCGGGCTCCCAGACCGAAAGATCCGCGAAGACATCTGTGGTCTACCCCTGGGCCTGCTCAAGCTGATCCCGATCCTCGGCTTTGAAGGGGCCAAGGGACACAGAAATAAAAAGACACACATCCCAGGATTCCCAATATATTTCAAATACTTTCTTGGTTTTTGTCTTCCCCCCACCTCCAATAAATCAATATATTTTGCGGGGAATCGGCGATCAATTGTGTCTGTGTTGTTTCCTCTCCTGAGGTTTGACGGCTGCCGCCCCTCTTTGTTGCACTGCGTGCTCCCACGCACCCTTGATCAGTGCAGCTCGTCTGGGCATCGCTGCCTCGTGGGCTGGTGCTGATATGCGAAGCGCCAAGAACGGCCGCTGTCATTCGGCCCGTCAAGCACACGCCAGAACTGGGCACGCTGGCGCAAGAGGAGCCAATGCTCGTCGATGTCGCATTGAAAAGGAGACCGTCTCTCATAGAGGAAGGAACGAACACCTCATAGACATACACTTTTGGAGGTCCGCGCGGATTTCTTGGATCCGCGCCGGAACCCCCTCCCTGGCCCGCGGAGCGCGCCAATGGTGGCGCCGGAGGCGCCGCCGGGGGGCGGGGGGCCAGGCG